TGGTAGGCACTCTATACTCACTTTGGGGCAGGGACTACAGTCTAATGTCTGTATAAATGGAAGCAAACTGTTCAGAAGCAAACACCCTCTTCTCTCCCCAACCTTATCCCGTAAGGAAGGGGTAGAAGATATTTGTTTCTCAGCAAAATAATGTTTTCATAAAATGCTTCTAACATTTCAGAAGTAAATTGAACTGTGCAATGTTTTGTGTAGCTATTGTAGCTTTGTACAGATTTGGTTACTTATTTACCACCAGTTGAGTGAAAAATGAATAGAGCACTACTCGTATTTCTACTGGTCCTTTAGGCACAGAACTGGATCTGACTAGTGCACTTTTAAGGAACATTTTAGCGTGAGAACCTTTTGAAATTTTGCTTACTTAAGATTATGTTCAGAATCTCTGGACGTTGTTAAATTCATTTTGATTGAACCTCATTTTTAAATTTTCTCTTAGTTGGATGCTAGTGATTCAAGCTCCAGCAGCAATCTTTCCCTTGCTAAAGTTAGGCCAAGTAGTGATCTCAACAATAGCACTGGACAATCGCCTCATCACAAAGTGCAGAGAAGCATATCTTCTAGCCAAAAACAGCGACGGTACAGCGATCATGGTGAGTGACCCTGTTTCAGTGTGATGACGCACACCTACTATAAAATGTTCGATATTTCCTTACAGCCTTCACCTTTTAAAAGGGACCAACTTGCTTATGGTCTGGTCAGTTACAACCTAGTGACTAATTCATTGTTTTACAATGATCAGGTATTCTTATGTATACTTAAGACCTCCTCAGAGATACCTTCTAAAGCTGTACTGAGTGAACCAGCTTATTCTATTATTATGGCAATATTTTCTCCTGCCTGTGGGGCCATCCTAGGAAAGTCTTGCTACACAAGTTAAACAACATCTTGCAAGTTCTCTTGTTCAATATCAAGTACATCCCGCACCATCCCCCCCACTTCCATTATGGCCATACAGCTTTTGTTTCCTTTTGGCACTAATAGGTCAGCCTTTGTCTAAAAGAACTTGGAAAACTGTCTGTCCCCCCAGTATTTCTTCTTGTTTCCTGTGGGGGCTGTCACTTGAATGCCCTGCAAAGGTCCAGTTTTTAAAGAGTACCTGTGACTCCAGCCAAACTTAGAACTTTTCTGCCTCATGGGTATGCAGAACAGTCACACAGAGTTTACTAAATATCTTATAAATCTTCCTACCTATACACTAACTTACAAAGGGAATCTCCTTTTGACCTGAATATACCACAGTGGTTATTTGCAGGCAGGAGAGGTTGCTTTCCTCTCCCTGTGTCTCCTCGGATTACATTGTCTTTTTTGTTAAATTTTCTAATCTGTAGAATCAGTTTGTTAGTTTTGTTTGAAGAGAGAAACCAAAACACTTGAATGGTTTTGACTTTATTTTTATCCCCATTAAAGTGTGTCAGGAGAGAAAGGAAAGTCTGACTTTCAAAATATAACATCCACATCTCAACTCCTTACATTTTAATAGCTGGGAAAGGATTTGTACAAATAGTTGGGCTGTTGGACATTTTGCCTGATCTTCAGGTGTACCAGAACAGCTTTCTGCCATTCTTCCCCAATTCCACAGGCATGTGGGGGCCTACAGCACAAATTAGGGTAGGTTGTGTGCCAGCAATAATTGCCCTCGGGTGCCATTCTACCATCTCAGAGTGCCTGGAATTTAGCTTAGTCTGGCTGGGCTCTGGAATGCCCATTGAACTGGGAGGGATTAGAAACAAGTGACAAAGAACCTTCCATGACAACTTTATGCAATTAGAGATCCCTTGCTCAAAGGAAATCCGTAACTGGGTTTAGACTAGATTTCCAACCTATTGTGCCAGTGGCAAGAAAGGGAATAAAGCACAGCCAAATATATGGCCCAACACTTCAAGTAAAAGAGGAATGACTAGAAAAGTACAATAGGCAGTGTTCAAATGTTGGACTTCTGGAGCTAAGCAAAACAAGACAAGAGCCTTAAGGGGACGTTTCAGAGTGTTTAACACCAGTTTTTTCTTACATTAAAATCTGAGGAACATCTCCAACTAAAGAATTTAAATAGTTTTATATTCACCACCCATCTGTCCTTACCGGAGAAAATGTATACAAATTCTGTATCTTTGGTGGAAAATTGCATTAAAGGGAGCTTTAAGAGTTGGCTTAAATCTCCAACTTATTAAATTTTTAAAAATTGACTTTGTTTTTGAGCAACTCAAGTTTTACACTTTTTTAAAAAGGCAGAGATTAATAATATTCAGAAGTTTGGAAAAGTTCTTCGAGTACTTGCTCATGTCCATTCCATTGTCTGTGTGTGCGCTCGCCATATGCACTGGTGCCGGATTTTTTCCCCTCAGTGATATCTGTAGGGGACTGGGTCTGGTGCCCTCTGGAATGGCACGCATATGTGCCGGTATAAGGGGTGCCGCTAGCTCCCCTCTCCCTCAGTTCCTTCTTACCGCCAATGACAGTGCTGGAATGTCTCCTTGCTTCGGCACGCTTTCCTGTCTCTGCTGTGTTTAGTAGTGAATTTGTTGTATATAGTTGTTTAAAGTTGTACAGTTAATAGTTCCCTTAGTGTTAAGTTAAAACTAGTTAGTCCCGTACAGGACTTAGCCTAGGGACAGGGCATGCCCTGGGCTTCAAACCTTGTGACTGTTGCAAAAACCTATGCCAGTCAGTGATCCCCATAGAAGCTGCCTGAAGCGTTTAGGGGAAACCCACATGAGCGACAAGTGTCGCATTTGCAAGAGCTGCAGGCCGCCGACCGAGAAGGAGCAGGACATTTGTCTCCGAGCGCTCCTTATGGAGTCGGTCCTTGCACCGGCCTCAGAGCCAACGAGATTGGACTCTGCTCCAAGTACTGTGGCCCCGGTGCGGAGCGCGCTGCCGGCAGCGACCTCTGACCGGCGCCAATCCCCATCCCCAGTACCAGATAAAAAGCAGAGAGAGGCCGGGAGGGGGCGTTCTCCTATGTCCTGTAAAGGGAAGGAGAGAGCCGGAGAGCGAAGACCCGCGTAGGACAGTTCTTCCCCTCTGGACGGTGGCCAGGCTCTGACTGCTGTTGAGCTATCAAGCCCACTTCAAGACCCACCCGCCACCCCGGGAAGTGGCAGAGGTACTCGACACTTGGCGGTGCCATCCACACCAGAGGCCTTTCAGGCTGCTAAGAACATACTGTCCCTTCTGGTGCAGCCCACGCCGGCCACTGAGGTGCCTCGTTTGCGGGGTAAACCTGCCCTGGGACCCTTCCAGCCGTCTCTATCAGTGCAGCACTGCTCCCCACCTCAGGGAATTCCCCGCCAGCGCTCGCCTGAACACCAGCCCCTGGTTGGCTTGCCTGCCAGAGTTCCCAGCGTCAGTCCCCAGACTCTAGGCAGCGTTCCTCAGGCTCTAGGTGTCGATTGCCAGCAGCCTGGCGCAGACCCAAAGAGGTGTATCACCAGTCCCCAGAGCACCGGTGGCAGGAGCGTCGAAGTCACTCTCCCAGCCCACGGCACCGTTCCAGAGGGTCCAGACGCTGGTCCCTGGAACCACATCGCCGGATTGCCAGTATGGATCACTGCAGGCACATTGATGGTCTCTGAGATGTCAGTGTTCTCACTCCCGTTCCAGTTCACAGTCTATGGAGCAGCACCACTCTCTAAGCATGAGGCATCAATCCCTGGGGTACCATCACCAAATGCCAACGCCGGTCACAGGGTCGCAGCACCGAGAGCCATTGCCCCCGTACATGTCCCCAGTGGAGGTCCGTGGGCAGAGCCAACGAGATCGGGGTACACAGGCAGCCTTGGTACCGTCCTGGTCCACCAGACAAGTCTCTCCCTCCTCAGGCTCGGACAGTGAGGAGGAGAACCTGCCCGCAGCCCAAGCGCTCCATTGGCATTCCTTTCTTTGCCACCAGTGGCAGCATGAGCCCAGGGCCAGTGGCCAGCCCCCTGGCTGCTATGGAACCCTTGGGGGTTTCCCCACCCATCGCAGGGGCATAAGTTGGTCGCAGGGGCATCTGAAAGACGGTCGGTGATGGTCTCCCGCCCGCCTCCTGACTTGGACATGGAGTCAAAGCAGGCTCCCCAGGGTCAGCCAGCCTCAGCTGAGGCTCCCCTAGCAGAAACGGTGGAGCTGGCAGATCCATCTGTACCTGCCTCATCATCATCTTTGCCCAATGAGGTGATAGCGGGGTCCTCTCACACAGTCCCCCAGGATGATGCCAGGGCCCTCCAGGAGCTTTTGAAGAGGGTCGCATCAAACCTGGAGCTGGAAGCCAAGGAACTGGTGGAGCCCTCGGACTCCCTGTTCGATGTGCTAAGTTCAGCAGCCCCCTCCAAGATGGCATTGCTGGTGCATGAGGGAGTGATTAAAATTACAAAAGCCCTGTGGCAGACACCCTCCTCCTTCCATCCCCATCTCCAAGTGGGTGGAAAGAAAATACTACATCCCCACTAAGGGATACGAGTATCTTTATACCCACGCTGCCCTAACTGGTTATGTCGGCAGCCAGTGGGCGTGATAGACAGGGCCAACCCAGATCAACGCCTAAGAATAAGGAGGCAAAGAGGCGTGATCTCTTTGGGAGAAAGATTTATTCTATGTCCAGCCTCTAGCTGAGAGTGGCCAACCATCAGGCCTTACTTGGCCGTTATTATTTTACTATTTGGCAATCGATGGCAGAGATTGTGGATTTGCTTCCTGAGGAGCCCAGGAAGGAATTCCTGGCTATCATAGATGCAGTGCTGTGGCCAGGGCAGCCCTCCAAGAAGCCTCAGATGCGGCAGATTCTGCGGCCTAGACCATGGCTTCGGCCATTTCTATGCGGCGTGCGTCCTGGTTGCATTTCTGTGCGTCGGGCCTGTCGATGGAGGTTCAGCAATCCATCCAGGACCTCCCTTTCAATGGCCTGGCACTCTTTTCGGGACAGACAGTAAATTACATGGCCTGAAAGACTCTAGGGCAATCTTGCGCTCCCTGGGCCTTTACACACCGGGGCCGTCAAGAAAGCAGTTTAAGCCACAACAGTCCCACAGGTTCAGGAGCCAACCTCAATCAGAGCCCTTCTGCAAGAAGGGCAAGGGCTATAAGCGCTGGCCAGCCACCTTAGCTCGCTCGAGCCATAACCAACCGGGTAACGAGCAGGCATTCTGAGGGTGCTCTCAAGCCTGTGTCCTGCGCCTTCCAGCCTGTGTCCTGGATCCAGCACCCTTGTCATTTTCCAACCATTTGTCCCCCTTCCTCCCTGCCGGGACCTCTATAATATCGGACCAGTGGGTCCTCCTGCACGGTAGCAGGGGGATATACCCTCCAGTCTATTTCTCCCGCCCCCCCCTCCCCTATCCCTATTCAGGGATCCTTCTCACAAGCATCTGCTCTCTCAGGAGGTGCAAGGCTTTCTGAGGGTGGGAGCCGTGGAGGAAGTCCCTCTGCATTTGAGGGGGAAAGGGTTTTACTCCCGCTATTTCTTTACACAAAAAGCCAAGGGGGGTCTACGCCCCATTCTTGACCTGCGGAGCCTCAACAAGTATCTCAAGAAGTTGAAGTTCCTCACGGTCTCCTTGGCCTCCATCATTCCTTCCCTGGATCCAGGAGACTGGTACACCACCTTGACCTGAAAGATGCTTACTTTCACATATCGATATTTCACAGACACAGATGGTTCCTACATAGAGCAATTCTCTGTGCTCCCTTTTGGTCTAGCAACGGCACCAAGGGTTTACGAAGTGCATGTTGGTGGTGGAGGCCTCCTCAGAGGTCGGGGTATCCAGATCTACCCATACCTCGACGACTGGCTCATCAAGGGCCGGTCCAGGTCCAGCACAGCATCCAGATGTTGCAAGCCACTTGTCAAGCTCTGGGCCTGTTGATAAACGAACAAAAATCAAGGTTGATCCCGGTCCAATGGATAGTTTTTCGGAGCAGTAGTCGACTCTGCCTGAGTGAGAGCATTCCTGCCAGAGGCCAGATTCAGGACAATGTCAGATCTGATTGTCAGCGCCACTTCCTGGGTGTCTCTGACTATTGGGGCACATGGCAGCATGCACGTACGTTGTCCGACATGTGAGACTTAGGCTGCGTACCCTCCAGATGTGGCCAGCATCGGTGTACTCCCTGACCAGATATCACCTGGACAAGGTCATGACGATCCCCCCATGGGTACTTACCTCTCTGCAGTGGTGGTCCAACCCAATTCTGGTGTTGGAAGGGGTGCTGTTCGCGAGCCTGTGACCCACAGTCTCCCTGATTTCGGATGCATCCGACTTAGATTGGGGAGCACATCTCAGTACACTATGGACTCCAGGGTTATGGTCTGGAGAGGAGCTTGTATTACATATAAACGTCAAGGAGCTCGGACCCATCCATCAGGTTTGTGGTCTCTCTCTCCACCTCACAGCTTGGATACTGGGTGGCTGAATCCAGAGGAACAGGCCTGCTCTAGTCAGGTGCAGCAAGTTCTCTTGGAGAGCAGAAAGCCCTCCACCAGAGCAACTTATCTGGCAAAGTGGAAGCTGGGTGTCAAAGCAGGATATCTCCCTGACCCAGTCATCTCTGCAGTCCATCCTGGATTACCTGCTTCACTTAAAGCATCAGGGCCTTGCCTTCTCTTCAATCAAGGTGCACCTGGCAGCCATATTGGCCTTCCACCTTGCATCCCGGGTAGATTGGTGTTCTTGCATTAGACGTTGATCAGGTTCCTGAAAGGCCTTGAAAGACTTTCTGCCAATCCGGGACCCGGTCTCCTAATGGGACCTCAGCCTGGTCCTCTCCAGGCTCGCGGGTCCGCCCTTTGAGCCTATGGCTTCTTGTTCCCTTTCCCACTTGTCCTGGAAGGTTGCTCTCCTTGTAGCTATTACTTTGGCGAGACATGTCTCCGAGATTAAAGCCCTCACTTTAGAGCCCCCATACACGGTATTCTACAAGGACGAGGTCCAGCTGGGGCCCCATCTGGCCTTCCTGCCAAAGGTGGTGTCGCACTTCCTTGTCAACCAGGCTATCTTCCTCCCGGCGTTCTGTCCAAAGCCTCACATGACCAGTGAGGCGAGGCAGCTGCACGCTCTAGATGTCAGGCGCACCCTGGCTTTCTACCTGGTACGCCCCAAGCCCTTCCACAGATCGACCCAGCTCTTCATCGTAAGAGCTGACAGGATGAAGAGTCTTCCGGTGTCCTCTCAGAGGATTTCCAATTGGATCACCACTTGCATTCATACTTGTTAGGAGTTGGCACAGGCTGTGCCTCCACTGATAGTGTAGGCTCACTAGACGAGGGCTCAGGCGGCTTTGACTGCCTTCCTGGCACATGGCCCTACCCAGTACATCTATAGGGCCGCGATGTGGCCTTCAGTACACACGTTCACGGCGCATTACGCTATCACCCAGCAAGCCAGAGATGATGCTGGATTTGGCAGAGCTGTGTTGCAATCAACACATCCTTGAACTCCTACCCGCCTCCAATGGTACTGCTTGGGAGTCATCTACAATGTAATTGACATGAGCAAGCCCTTGAAGATAAGACAGTTACCTTTCATAACTGTTGTTCTTTGAGATGTGTTGCTTATGTCCATTCCATGACCCACCCTCCTTTCCCCCTGCCGGTTTTCGGCAAGAAGGAACTAAGGGAGGGGGAGTCGGCAACACCCCTTATACCGGTACAGATATGCGCCACTCCACAGGGCACCAGAGCCTGGTCCCCTATGGATACCACTGAGGGGAAAACTTCCTGCACCAGTATATGTGGCAAGCGCACGCATCTACAATGGAATGGACATGAGTAAGGCTAAGATTGTCACGGAGGTTGCGGAAGTCACAAAATCCATGACTTTCAGCGACCTCCGTGACACTGGGGGGCCCCGCAACTGACCGGCCAGCGATGGCAGCGGCGATCCCGAGCTGTCCAGCTGCCGCTGCTGGCAGCCAGGGGCCCCCTGCAACTGGCAGCGGCAGAGGGACCCTGGAGCTGCTCAACAGCCACGGGTGGGGGAGCCCCCCCCCTGCAGCTGCCCAGCTGCCGCCGCTGGCAGGGGAATGATGAGAATCATTAAGAAAGGGATAGATAAGACAGAAAATATATTGCCTCTATATAAATCCATGGTATGCCCACATCCTGAATACTGCATGCCAATGTGGTTGCCCCATCTCAAAAAAGATATATTGGAATTGGAAAAGGTTCAGAAAAGGGCAACAAAAATTATTAGAGGTATGGAATGGCTTCCATATGAGGGGAGATTAATAAGACTGGTTCTTTTCAGCTTGGAAAAGAGACGACTAAGGGGGGATATGATAGAAATCTATATAAAATCCTGACTGGTGTGGAGAAAGTAAACAAGGAAGTGTTATTTACTCTTTCTCATAACACAAGAACGAGGGGGCACCAAATGAAATTAATAGGCAGCAGGTTTAAAACAAACAAAAGGACGTATTTCTTCACACAACGCAGAGTCAACCTGTGGAACTCTTGCCAGAGGATGTTGTGAAAGCCAAGACCATAACAGGTTTCAGAAAAGAACTAGATAAATTCATGGAGGATAGGTCCATCAATGGCTATTCGCCAGGATGGGCAGGGATGGTGTCCCTAGCTTCTGTTTGCCAGAGGCTGGGAATGAGCAGGGAATGGATCACTTGATGATTACCGGTTCTGTTCATTTCCTCTGGGGCACCTGGCATTGACCGCTGTCGGAAAACATGGTACCAGGCTAGATGGACCTTTACTCTGACCCAGTATGGCCCTTCTTATGTTCTATGATCCTCTGACCTTTAAGTTTCATTTATTTTGACTTTTAAGATATGTGCATATAAATGTATTTGCATAATGAATAACAAGCTTGATAACCTCCACATTTGGAAAAAAATGTTTTCTTTTTAGCTGGACCATCTATCCCTCCAGTAGTGGCGTATCCAAAAAGAAGCCAGACTAGCACTACAGACAGTGACCTGAAAGAAGATGGAATTCAGACAAGGAAATCTAGCAGTAGTGCTGTTGGCGGACGAGGAATTGCTCCGGCTAGCCCCATGCTCGGAAATGCTAACAATCCAAATAAGGCTGATATTCCTGAACGTAAGAAAAGTTCGGCTGTCCCCAGTGTAAGTGGAAGCATTTATTCTTTAAAGCATATAAACATGAAACACTTTAAGAGTAGGAGAATGTCACTCAACCCAATGGCCTGTCATTGGTTTTTGGTTTATTTGTTTTTTAATGCTTTTATCTTCATCTCACTTCATTCCCCAGGAGCAAATGTAAGTATCTCATATACTTATTTGTATACTGTCACCTGCCCAGGAACTTAATTCTTTTGCCTATTGCCATTTCTGAAATAGTTCATTAGGATAGGAACCAGAGGTACAAGACAAGAAAAGGAACTAAGAGACTATCCTATGGAGCAGAATAGTATGGGTCATGGGTGATCTCTGAAATCCTACCTGCTCTTTTGGGTTTCCTCCTCCCAAAAAAGGGATCCCTGCCACAACTTTTATATCCCATATCCTTTTGTATGTACTGATAAAAAGGATCACCTGTACTTTGCACTAGGCATTCCTTAACACATTTTTAAAATGCAGTTATACGGATTACTCCATGGACTCCTGCCCTCTGCCCAGTAATTAACATATTACCAAACAGCTGTAGCTTTAAAAGCTTCTCCTCTCCCCTTTTCCCCCCAAAACAAAAAAAACTTATTTGAACTTAGTTTTTGCTTAAATACAGTGCTCAGCTTTGGGACTTGAGTCCTCTTAAAATGATCCTCTGATCTTTCTGCTGCAGTGCTTTGAGCTGATTAGTTTCAGTGAAAGTCTCCCACAATAACTTCCAGATCCTTCAGCTGGTAAGTTACTAGGGAGCTGAGGTTATTCCTTCCTTCTGCACCTGTTATCTACCTTAGCTCAGTTCCCAGACCATCTTGTCTCCAATCAACTGAACGTTTTGCTTGATTGCCACCTTTATAACTAAGGTTGAAAAACAATATTCATAATAAGTCTGTTTCCACAAACTCAAACTTTCTGGAAAATTCAGCTTCTGCACAGAAATCTTCCCTGCATTGTGAATTTTTTAAAATATCAACAAAATCTCTTCAGCCATTATCCAGCTTGGGATGGTATGTTTCTTTAAAGATGCCATCCTGGCAAGATTATTGCACTTGGATTCCATGGTCGCAATATAAAAAATGGCAGAATTTCCCTAATTCAAACCTTTTTAGTCCTCTGAGGCCAAAAAGTAGCTCAGCAGAAGGCCTTCAACCTCTCTTATTGGTTGTGTACCAGCAGCAGCCACTACTTCCAGTTCCTGGAACCTTCCAGCCAAGTCATTCTCAGCTACAGGCTCGCAATGAACTCCTCCTGTAAGAGGGATCCCCTCCCTCTGCCTTCTCTTCAGCTGTGGTTCATACATCTGCTCTGACAGTGCTATGTGTATTGTTTTCTGACCCCCACCCCTCTTCCTTCTGATCAGTGTTAAACTTCCTGTTAATTGTTTCTCTCTCTCTTGGCGTTCTGGGTTGTCTGGTCCCAGAGTGTTAGGGCCTTTAAATTGGTTTTGTCCTACCACTGGCCTTCACTCCAGTAATCTTTTTTTTTGTTTTGTTTGGCAGTAGTATGTTTTTGCTCCACACTCAGTATTATTGCCCTTTTTTTCCCAGCCCTTTTGCATTATAGCCTCAGTGCTTCATTCTTTGGTATTTTGGCTTGCTCTGTTACACCAGCTAGATCCTGACATCAGTGGCTTTATTCCAGTGGTTTCTAGTTTTACATTGTAATTGAAATCAAAATTTGGGCTATAGTGACAGATCCATGGAATACCTGCTTTGTTCATGGTAAAAGGTCCGACTTGCACACTGAATCGAACAGTGGCACTAATATAATCAGAAACGGCATTATAACACCACACAAAAGGGTGGAGTTATAGTTCCTGGTTCTTTTAACGTTTAACCATATAAACTTAACAGGGTTTCCAATGCGAGTTCTTGTGTAGTCATTTTTGGAGTTCATTGTTATAACTGGTGTGTATAGGAAGCTGTTACTTCCCCCACAGTTCAGGAATTGGCTAGAAAATTTAAGGGCTGTGGTAGTTGGCATGCAGCCAGAAGAAAGTGGGTTGTCTTGTGCTGACCTACCACTCTGAGTGCAAAAAATCCTTCAGGTACGGAAGTTCCATCCTGCCTCACTGATTGCATAAAGCCTAAAATTGATAATCCCTTGAGATAACTTCCGAGAAGCAGAATTACTAGTAACTTCTCCTTTCCCTTTTTTTTTTTTTTTTTTAAATTAACCACTTTTTTTATACAAAGCTACTGCAAAATGGCAGAACTTTGAAACTTGGTATGGGCATAGTCCTTGTTGAAGACTAATGTATGATTTTGAAAAAGTCTAACTCTTCTTTAACTGTTAGAACCATTAAACAATTGCATGCTAAGCTTGTACAGAAGAATATTAAGTCTGCAAGTATACACTTCAAGGCAAATGTTGTGCATGTGTGTGCAGCTGATTAGTGTGTGTGGGTTTAGGGAACATAGAAGTTGTGCTTCTAAAGCTGGTTGCGCGTGCAGGCCCTTGCAAGTCAGATAGCTCTGCAAACTGAACAGCTGTGCAGTAAGAATCAGATTAGATCCACTAGCAAAATACTTGTCAAATTTATTTTGCTTTAAAAAGTTGCTGGAAACTAATATGTAGTCTGCTCAATTAAAATCTAAAAAAATAAGGCTTTAGCAGCAACATAATTCTGCCATATTACTCATGCATACTATTCATGGATTGTTTGATATTTCCAAATGTATACCTTATTGCTGTCTCCCAACCTAAAGGGCCTTCAGAATAGTTCAGGATGGCAGGTCAGAGGAAGGCAATTATAGTGGGTGAAAGAGGCTTCAGGACCCTAGCTCTTACAGACTTTCTGCAAATGTGTTATGACATCTTTAGAAGAACCAGCAAGTGACTCCTTGAAAGCCACTCACCTTTCCTCCTTCCTCTGGTTGTCTCTCCTAATGTAGCTGACTGCACATGCAGCTAACTCGTCCAATGCAGCTGCAGCAGCCTGCCAGCCCAAGCTTCTCTTCAGTATGCTCATGGTGCTCAGCTCAGCCTTTGATGGCATCAGAGGATGCTCCTTATTCCCAGAAACATGTAGCCACCACCTTCAAGTGTACTCTGCAAAGTCCCACTCATGGGATGCATTCTGGTAGCAGTGCCTGTTAGAGAGCTCACTCACCCCTCCTGCTCCCCCCTGCATTCCTCTGTCTTCTCCGGATGTGCCTATAAAAGGGGGTGTGCCCTCTGCCACCTCAACTCTATCCAGCTGTGACAGCAGACAGATGTGAACTTCTGTGGATCCACTGAACCTAAATTTTCTCTCTTGAAGAATAGTGTCTTAGCTTAGTGTGTGTTTATAGTGTTAGTGTTTAGTTTTAAGTTAAGCTTAGGGTATGTCTCACTTAACATGCTGCAACCGCACCACTGTTGTGCTCCGACAGAGAAAAGCTAGAAAAAGGGGGTGGATAGGCTCAGCTGTCATTCTATCACATAGTGGCTCCAAAAAAAAAAATTGGGAACCAACAAGTTAATAAATTGTGCCGTAAGATGTACATCATACCACATGCAGGGCAGAGTTGCCAAGTTAATAGTGCTGTTACAACCTTTTGTATTGCCTGGCAAGTTTAATGCATCGTTAAGGTTGCATAGTTAACAGTTTTCATTTTTGTATGCATGTATGCGTAAAATATATTGGCAGATTCCTGCGGTCTTTATACAGACAAACTCCCACTGAAGTCAGCATATGTTACAAGTGAAAGCTCTGTAGAAAGCTTGACACAAATTCTGTAGCAAGGCCTCTGGTTTCTTAGCAATCCAGGGCAGCAGACTAGAGGTTTTCTGGCAGCTTCAGATAAATTAAAAATTGTTTCATACTGAATTAAATATGAAAATGAATAATACAATTAGTTTATAATTTGCTGTTGCTTAATTTGGTGTTAAATTCAATTTTTTTACACTTCCCCTCCATTTTTATCTTTCACCATGTCATGGATTTTTCTGTCTTCAGCTGGCTGTTTTGCCTGCAATGTTCAGTAAGTTAATGCAGTGTTAACTTTTAAGCCTAATAATAATAAACATTAACACCCCATTCAAATGAATGGTGACTGTTCATATTTAGAACTGTTATTTCAGCTATTGGCAGGCTCGAGCACATGACTCTGCATCAGCTTATAACCAGTTCAAGTTTTTAAAATTTGCAACAGCAAGTGCTAGACACTTCTTTTAAATGACACCTTGGATTCAAGTGTACAGTTCTGAAGAAAGAAATGGATTTTTGGTATATTCTGCAGCTGTGGAATTGTGTGGAATTTGGAACCTGATTATAAACTGATATGTGTTGGAACTTTGTCTGAGAGAGGACTGCAGGGAGCTGTTTCATATATATTGAATAACAGGTTTTTTACTGACCCCTCTTGGAACCTTTTTTCAACTTGAAAAGTTTGTCAATGGCTACGCTTTGCCTTTTTTCTCCTAGGCCCATTTTTCCTCGGTATCTTTTTACCCTTTATTCCATTGCACACTACTGTAGCCATTCGTTTTTATGCAGAACCTTATCTCAAATTCTTTTTAAAAATGCATTGAGTTTCCCTTGTCTATCACAGCAGTAATTCTTCAAAGAACTACAACGGGTTAGTTAAGTCCTCTTCCTAAATTCTTACTGGCAATCTGTAATCGACAGGGGCTTATCCATGTGTTCACTGATAACATCCCTTAAACTGGTTTCCAAGATTTTTCCCAGCAGTGGATGTTTAAACTCAGTAACCTCTCTTGTGTCATGCTTTGTCCCTCAATCCTTTTTAAAAACAAAGCACAGTAATGGATTTATTTTCCATTTTCCAATCCTGTGGAATTTATCTGAAATCCAGTGAACTGGAATGAGAAGGGGGGAGTCAAAGATTCACCAGTTTGCTTGCTTGCTTCCTCTAAAACCCCTGGGTGCATGTTTATCTGGATCTCGTGCTTTTTCTACATTAAGTGCATCTAACTCTTTTTTTATATAATTCTGTTATCTGTGCACTACCTAGTTCCTCAGTCGTTCCTGGAAAATTGACCGCCAAGTTGGGCATATCTCCACCCTCTTCCTCTGCAAAGACAGAGGCAAAGTAATTAATTCTATTCTTTATCCCCCTCTAAGGTCTCCATTTTCATTTTAAGTGGCCCTGTGGTTCTCTTGTCCTCTGTCTAATGTTTGTGTGTATATTTATATTTGAAAAAATGTCTTAACTGAGATTTTCTGGAATTTGCCTTTTTTTTTTAATTGGTTTCAAAACTTTAAACTCCTTTATGGCATTAGTATTTTTAAGAGCCTTTATTTATTTACTTCCCCATTGTACTTAGCCACATCTGTTTGTTTCTGTTAGATCTTTGCTTTTCCTGTCAATTAACTTGTTAAGGGCTTGATTCAGTTTCAGAAAAGTGTTTTAAGAAAAGATAATAATTTCCACATTCTAAAAGTCATAAAGTATCTTTCAAGAATATCTGGTAAAGGAACTACAGATCTAGATTAACTTCCATAAAATCCTCATTTTTATTTACATCAATAGTTGAGGGCATTTGTGATTAAAGTTAAGTTTACTCTGTTAACTCTTGTTGAATAGTCAAAATAAAATGAAATTGTGTTTCAAACAGTTCATTCATCTTAGCACTTTCTTAGAAAGACCAGCACAGTCACCATAACTAAAGCATATTTCTGTTTATCTTATCTAATTTGGAAACAAATCAATGTAAGGCTTTTACTATAAGCTGTAGAACAAATTATAGCATAAATTTAAGGAAAATAAGGTCTCAACCACATATTGTTGATACTGATTTTGCCGTGAGTCTTGCACAAACTTTTTGGGTGGATTAATGCACATTGTATCTTTAATTGTAGAATAATACCGCACCTGGAGCAATGACACGCCGCAATACATACGTTTGTAGCGAGAGAACCACTGCAGATAGACATTCAGTAATCCAAAATGGCAAGGAGAACAGGTATGAAATTTCTCAAAGAAAAATTTGCTGTACTTGTTTTCTCATGCTTCGAAAAAGTTGTTGTATATGATTCAAAATGAAGCAATACCACTAAGTGTTACATTTTTCTCTTAAAGGTAAGTACGAATCCCCAGCTCGTGGATACTTGCAAGTACTTGTTTCTGCAGTATGTAGACCTGAAGTATTCTGCTAAGATTCCCAAAATTTGTAGATACTAACTTATGGACCATGATCATATGTTCTGTGGTTGGATAGCCTATGTACACAGGTTAAAATTGAATCATTCAGTCATTCTTCTGGATATTTGGACAAGGAATGCTCTGTTTCAGTAAAAGATTTTTGGTTTTAAAAAATTAAAGAAAGGCATCTATTTGTATTAGAGGTCAAATTAAAACATACCTGAAAATGATGGTGTGTTTCTGTCTGTACATACTCCACTCTATGCTGTGCTCATTATCATGATATTGGAGTGTCATACTTTTAGAAAATTGCTGATTTATTCTAGAAAAACTGCCTTCTGCCTGACCAGATAAGTGTGAGGCCTGTTACTATACTGTAGAGTTTATAGGCTCAGGTACCCCTTCATCATGTCACCCCTGAAACATTAAAATTTAACATAATCCTACCCTGTCAGAGGTAGAAGGGGGCAAAGGAAGAGGAACATATCAGTGTGAGCATCCCCTTCACCCACAGAGGCAGCTTGTCAAGTAGGATATTTAGAGTGCATGTGATTTCTTTATTGGCTGGAGTGCTAGTCAAGAACCCAGCCCAGTCCCCCATTACTGTGCTGCCTGGAGATTTACTGGTTCCAGAAACTGCCAAGCAGGTAGTTAATTTTGTTTTTCTGTCAGGAATTGGGGTGAATTTTAACTACAACTAGTTGAATTTGAAGTCTGCACCAGTTAGTTACAGTTGTATGGTTCTGCCCTCCAGGTGGCTACAATCTGTGGCAAGTTGTTGAACAAATGGGACTGTAAAGACGCAACGCTCCTCTCTGAGGGCATGTCTACGCTACAAATTTAAGTTAACCTTTGTTAATATCCACGGTAATTACTGCAGTTTTTCATGCCCACACTAACCTTCTGTCGATGGTGCGCATCCTCACAAGGAGCACTTCGTTACACTGACTTAAAAGCAGCAGTATGGGGGCTGAGAGCCTGGGCTCTCAGCTCGGCGCACAGCTCTCCGCTGGGAGCCCGGCTGCCCCTCTGGGCACCTCCGGGCTCCCAGCTGCCTAGAGCCCGGGGGGCAACAGGGCTCCTAGCCGAAAGCAAGCAACCTACCAACCTTTCTTGTCAATTTTACAGCTCCAGCAGGAGCTGTGAAATTGACATGAATGACAGCCAATGTAAGTAACGCAGTGTCTGCTGGAGGGTGTGTCACCCTAACTACACGGACCTACACCTCTCATGGAGGTGGTGTTATGTCAGTATAGTAGGGCACTTACATCGGCGGGAGCAAGGCTGTAGCATAGACACTGACATAATTAGGTCGTTGTAAGCTGCCTTACGTCAACCTAACTCTGGAGTGTAGACCAGGCCTGAGTGAGGGTTTAGAATTTCATACGCAAATACGGGCCTTCTCCCTAAACTAAGGGAATGCTAAGTTTGAGGGGAGTTACATTATGCAGGAGATTTGGGGTTACCAGTCAAATCAATGGTGATAATTCTTTTGCTGGAAGTCTGGGAAAAAAACAAATAAATTTTAAATTAATGGAGATATCCTATCTCCTAGAACTGGAAGGGACCTTGAAAGGTCATCGAGTCCAGCCCCCTGCCTTCACTAGCAGGACCAAGTACTGATTTTGCCCCAGATCCCTAAGTGGCCCCCTCAAGGATTGAACTCACAACCCTGGGTTTAGCAGGCCAATGCTCAAACCACTGAGCTATCCCTCCCCCCTTCTCATCAGTTTCTTTCCATTGATCCCTATTTTGGGATCTCTCTGGCAGAGGAAGGGAACAGGCGTTTGCCCCTACACCCTCATGCTGCAGTCACTGTGTGAAATTGCCTTCATTTCACAAAGGGTATGGTTTTGCCTCCTGCTTTCTTCTCCAGCAGCATGTAAAGGAAGAGAGGGACTGAGTTGGACATGCTGAATGAAGGTTTGGCATCACCTCACTGGTGTCTGGGATAAGGGACATGACTCTGACCTTTGTCTCCTGCCACTGGCCTTCAGCAAGCCTGGCAGGAATTAGGGAGAATTAAAACCTAAGTCTAGATTGACTCTGCACACTTCTCTTTTCCCCCTGCCAACCTGGCCAACTAGGTCTGTAATTGACTAGTATGCAAATTACAGCCCTATTAAATAGTGGTGTCTGTCTCTCTCATCCTCCAATGACTAGTCCTTGTTAATATTACTAAGTCTTTGCTTGGGCTAAGGAAAGGGGTGGAAAACCTTTTTAATTTAAGATATGTTAATATGTTTTTTTCTGTCCAAGTTATTTTTAAACATGATGCTACATGCAACCACAATGATGTCCAAAAGGTACAGTTCTGAACAGTTGCTGTACCACTTTAGAGAGATGCCACCTGGTGTCAATCCAAAGACATCTTTTCACTCACCTCGCACGCAAACTGCTTGGTTATATTCTGCATTTATTAATCTTGATCTTAAAACCGCTTTCCTGATAATTCAGTAACTTCAGCATTTTAATAGCTCTTAGGTAAACAATAGTCAATAGAAATATTTATACAATGCATGTGAAAATGTGTCCCTTTGTACCATTGTTTGTTAGAGCTCATTACTTGTTTAACTGGGTAGTCTGCTCGGTTTCTTTTTAATCAGTCTTTAAATTAGCACTCTGTTTTGCAGCATCTTCTGGTCTACGAGGTCTTAAATTGAAATAAACTTCCGGGCTTAAGAGAGTTCAGTGTTATCCTCTTGGTCTTCTGCTGGGAGCAGCTTCATTCTGTATTGCTGAGAAATTGCTCCTTTGTCTTTTCTGGCCTTGACTTTCTCAGTATTACACCATGCTTCAATAGAATTCATTTTGTCCAAAGTCAGTGCTGTACGGTACATAGCAATAAATAAACCAGGGTGTTGGCCCCACTGACCTTCCTAGACATATACGTTATATTCTGCAACTTATCTTCACTTTCAAAAATGCTGAACAGTCCTGCCTTCTGCAGCTGTCAGCAGGGAGGGAAATTTCTATTCTTGATCAGAGTGTAATGCAAGTAGTAAAACTATTCCAAACTTCAAGTTTGTTAGGACATACTTTGTGTCCTCATTAAGGCATTTATACTGTTGTCAGACATTTCACATTAACTTTTACCACTTTTTACTTTTGGTTATAAAATGTTGGACTTGCTGTTATGGAGTCTATCCTTTGATATAACAACTTCATTATTAGGTTCCATAAATATGCAGGTACCACGGTAACTAGCAAGATCAATGTGTTAATTAAAAATATTAAAGTTTGACAGAATAAAACACAGCATTGTTAAGTTTGTCTTTATAACTAGAAATTCCTGGTTGTGATTCAGTGGATTTCACTATTTGTGCATGTAGCAGTACATCTTAGGTCCACACTAACCCCCCACTTCGAACTAAGGTACGCAACTTCAGCTACGTTAATAAAGTAGCTGAAGTCGAAGTACCTTAGTTCGAACTTACCGCGGGTCCAGACACGGTAGGCAGGCTCCCCCGTTGATGCCGCGTACTCCTCTCGCCGAGCTGGAGTACCGGCGTCGATGGCGAGCACTTCCGGGATCGATTTATCGCGTCTAGACAAGACGCGATAAATCGATCCCAGAAGATCGATTGCTTACCACCGGACCCGGAGGTAAGTGTAGACCTACCCTTAGATTGGCACAGTCTGAGAATTGCTGCAGAGGGTTATAGAGTCAAATCTCAATATACTTGGTTGCTGTAGTTGGACATAAGCTGAACAGATTGCAGTAAGTGCAGTATTGATTGGATCTAGAATAAATGCTGCTTTTTCAGTTGTTGTTTTTTTTAAATCTCTCCAATACTCTTATCTCTGAACTCTGTGAAAGATAAAACTCTAGAAAGATCTGTGGTGTTTTTCTTAGATGTGGATCCTGAAGTAGAAACCTAGTTTGTTTGAATTCAGGGTTTCTTTAGAAATGGGTTTTTTGTGGCTTTCAAATTGCACTTCTCTGTGATAGGAATTCTTGTAAGGGAGAACTGCTCTAAAGAACATTTCAGCTAAGATTTTAGGTTTACTATAATTGAGGATGTTGAGAATAGTGACCAACTGAACACCTGAAGAGCTCTTCTAATGTCAGGAGACAACATATATATAAGTTTAAATGTGTTTCATGCCTTTCTTTACAAAACATGTCATCCCACCGCATGCTGCATACCTGTGCTCTTTACACATTGAGTTTTGACATAGGCAGCATATTTTAAGAAAAAATAATCACTTAGTATAGGGACCAAATATAATACCTTCCCAAGAGCTACTCTTTCTCCTACTCTGAACATCCCAGCTTGTACCATAGTTTGTCACAACTGTGGAAAACTGCTGGAGGTGGCTTATGAGGTTCATGTGAGTACATTGTTTGCAACACCTCACATCTTTTATAAAGATTTTTATTGTAACAAAGTAGTAGTGTATCACAAAAGAAACAATTGCAAAACCATGTTGTTAGGAGCAAAGTACTTAGTCATCGCCATGACAGATGTGCAGCAAGCTTACAGACCAAGAAAGCAGTTCTAGCAGCAGGATATGACAGCACCAGGAGGATGACTTCTGACAAAGATGGGGTACAGAAGATTCTGAGGGAAAAGGCTCAAACGTTAAGCATCTGTTTGGAGGTAGGGGACCCAGTTTCTATAAGTCTCATAATGCCCTTAAAGATAGATAAAATTTAGAACAAATAATCCTAGAAAGGGGAAACAGTCAGTTTATCTTTGTAATAAGTTGTGCAAATTAAGTTTTGAACCTTTAGTGATAATCTGTTTCAGGATTATTTATCCCTTAAAAAGTGTTTATCTACTTGAGATGCTTGCTATTGAGATTGAGACTGCTCATGCAGCTCTCTGTTCATCCTCCTACAATTTCTTAACTCCCTGGTGTTGGGAATTTTAATGAAAGGCAAAATGGGTTGGGCTTCTTAATACAAATAAAGCCATTAACAAAAAAAGTGATTATAGACAGTGATTATAGACATGATGTCTTCATCTGAGGAAAAACAAAAACCAGGAATGCTAAAATAGCATATCAGATCCATTCAGTGAAGGCTTTTTTAAAAATTACCCAATTTACATAAGAAAAAGCTCCACTAAAAATGACATGCATGTTGACTCTGAAACTTTTTTCAAAGCATGCTAAATAATCTCTAAATCTATAGTAGGCACCTGATAGTCTAAGGGCTTGTCTACACTACCGCGGTAGTTCGACGGCTGGCAATCGAACTTCCGGGTTCGATTTATCGCGTCTGGTCTGGACGCGATAATTCGAACCAGGAAGTGCTCGCCGTCGACTGCGGTACTCCACCTCAGCGAGAGGAGTACCGCGGAGTCGACGGAGGAGCCTGCCTGCCGCGTGTGGACCGCGTCTGAACCGCGGTAAATTCGAACTAAGGTATGTCGACTTCAGCTACGTTATTCACGTAGCTGAAGTTGCGTACCTTAGATCGAATTGGGGTGTTAGTGTAGACCAGGCCTAACTGAACCAGCATCCTTGCAGATCTTCTGGGGTTCTGAGTTAACTGAATGACACAGACTCCAGAGCTTGTGCCCCCAATATCTGTAGCCACAAGGGAGTTTCTTATATATGAACGTATGTAACTTTTTCTTTTGATCACATGGAACAGCAGGTTTGGAACTCCTGTTGCCAGATACTGAGTTACTTCCCTAAGCCTGAACAATGCTTATTTTTTACCGCCTAGTTTGAACTATGAAGCACCACATGACAGCCATCCATCCTTTTGGCTGAAGAAGATTCAATAGACCTTCCTTCAAAGCATGAATGTTAATCGATGTTCTGCTCAATGATCCCCAAGTAAAAGGATTCTTGAAAAATCTTGTCCTTTGCCTGCACAGAGATAATTGAACTGCCATTCCAGAACTCCAACACCCCTAGTCCTTGTAGCAGGGTAGACTCATCAGTAAGATAGACTATTAATTTGCTACTCTAGCATAGATATCCTAAGCCTTCAAGTCTGGGTTATGTCCATTAAGTCCTCAACCCATTACAGTGGTTGAGGTTTATTAAAATGAGAATCCCACTGGAAGAGCAAATTTTAAAAAAACCTGGACACTTTCAAGCAGCAGCAGAGTTCTTGACTGGAATTACTGTTCACCCAGGAGATCATTCCCAATCATTAGACCTGCGGTGTTAAGAATGTTTTTAAAAAGCATTTTTCATAGGAAAAATAACTGATACAATCTGCACCTTTATTTCAAATAATACTTTGGTGCAGATCACTAAGAATTTCAAGGCCCAAGCTTCCTATACATCTAACTAGTCAAGACAGGTGTCCACAAGCTAATGCTGTCAATGCATTTGAATTATCACATTGCAGAAAAGGACGGTTTAAAAAAAACAAATATGTTTTAGTCAGTGTAAAATAGTTAATTGCTCTATCTCCTCTGCAAGTGATGGTAACACTTATATTCTTTTTGACAAAAGCCAGATGTTTGTGAGAAGTGTTTTCTTTTCACTATACACGGTAGTTTGCACTTTGTCATTGGTCCGTCATGCTGTTCTTTCTGCCTCTGCCTGAACCCAAACCCCCTCGCAGCCTGACCGAAATGTTCGCTTATGCAACTAGCCCTGCCTCAGTTTGTACCACCTCCTCCTCCAGCATTCGGCTGAGACATCAGAAGTCGATGTCCATGTCAGCCTCTGTGCACACGAAGATGATGTTACTTCCAATAAACAATGATGCAGATAACTTCAAGCTTATGTAAGAAAAACTGAAATAATTGTGAAACTAAGTTTTACCTGCTTTTTAACTTTGTGCTGTGGAATTTTAGTCTTAGATTTGTTCTAGACTGTATTTTCTGCAAGATGTTTCCTAATTTTTAGTTTTGTTTACATTTATTGTTTTGTGGTGTCTGTGATATAATCCTACCATAGTGAACATTTAATACTTGTTTCATACTACTAAAATTCTCAAAAATCCCCCTGTTCTTGAACACTTTCGGGGGGGATTATATTCTAATATTTTTGTACTGTTAGGAATTTTAATATTTTCAAGTAGATTGCTGGTATATAGAGTTCTGTTACAAGATGTTCACAAATTAGCAAGGCTCTCCACAGGCATTGAAAGGAGAAAGCAAAGTTATACATTATCCATTTTCCCCACACACACACCTGGAAGTAAGGTGGGTTTTTTTTTTTTTGTTTTTTTTTTTTTTTGGTCCTTCCTTCTTTCATCAGTTTTGTCAGTGAAAATCTGTATGCACAGTTTCCTCTAATTCCCAACTGGCTTGCTCAATATTACATTTTTCTAAATGCACAAATTTGTGTTTAGACTTTCTTTATTCCTAACTTTTTGTAAAATATTACTTGATTCTGTAATGTGCTATAGTAACTTTGGGGGAGGGCGTTTCTACAATGGCCTGCATAAGGATGTCTTTAAGTGTACTGTATTGTAGAATTTACAGTTGCACATTTGTAGGCATGCATTGTTTCCTGCAAAGCTTTGGGGTTTCTGTAAAAGATAATATGAAACTGTGTATTATGTTTTTGTTTCCCTCTGTAGCACTGGTCCTGATCAAAGAACTCCTGTTGCTTCAACTCATAGCATCAGCAGTGCAACTACACCTGATCGCATTCGTTTCCCAAGAGGAACTGCCAGTCGTAGCACTTTCCATGGTCAACTCAGAGAGCGACGTACTGCTACATATAATGGACCACCTGCCTCACCCAGTCTATCCCATGAAGCAACACCACTTTCACAGACTAGGAGCAGGGGCTCCACTAATCTTTTTAGTAAATTAACTTCAAAACTAACAAGAAGGTAAGGCTTGTTTTAAAATAACAGCTGTAATAGTGAGAATTTTTCTTCACTTAGGTACTTCCCATTCTCCAAATACTTCATTTTGCTGCAGTTCAGTTCTATTCATATTCCTTGAACAATGTGTTTTAGCCATTTCTGCAATTTGAAATGCTAGATGTATTAGTTTTTGAATTTTTTTTGAGTTCTTTAGATCTTTGAAAGCCATTGTTCTTATAGTTTATAATTATAGTCAAATTGATTTCTATAGGGTTACATGGGTTATAAGTTGGCAGAATTTGGCCTATCGTACTTCCTGCTAGGAAACATAATCAACGTGTCTCACCTTGATCTGTAACATACGTGGGCTCTGATCCTGCAGAGATTTTACGCACATGTGTTAACTTGACTGTTCATTGCAATGGTGTGGCCTGTCACTAGGACTGACTTCTGTCTGTCTGGAGTTTAATGACAGGTGGGCTAAGGAGCTATAAAGCTAGGCTTGCCAACTTTCTAGTCGCACAAAAACAAACACCCAAGGTCCCGGCCCTGCCCACTACATTCCCCCTCCTTCAGTGGCTTGCTCTCTCCCACCCTCACTCACTTTCACTGGGATGAGGCAGGGGATTGGAGGGCGGGAGGACTCCGGGAAGGGGCCAGAAATGAGAGGTTCAGGGTGTAGAAGGGGGCTCCAGGCTGGGGCAGGGAGTTGGGTTGCAGGAGGGGGTGACGGTTCCGGCTAGGGGTGTGGGCTCTGGGGTCAGGCAAGGGATGAGGGGTTCAGGGTGGGCTCAGGGCTGGGGCAAGAGATTGGGACTTGGGGTTGGGGTGTGGCTTATGTCTGGTGGCTCCCAGTCAGAGGCCCAGCGGGGGGGCTAAGGCAGGCTCCAGAAGCAGTGCCCCAGAAGCAGCCAGCAGGTCCGGCTCCTAGACAGGGGGCCAGGAGGCTCCATGCACCAGTCTCGCCCTCAGGCACCGTGCCCCTCCAGCTCCCGTTGGCTGGTTCCCAGTCAATGGGACTGCGGAGCCGGTGCTCGTGGCGGGGGCAGAGCACGGAGCCCTGTGGCCCCCTCGCCTAGGAGCCGAACCTGCTGGCTGCTTCCGGGGCACAGCACAGTGCCAGTCAGGACAGGTAGGAACTAGCCTGTCTTAGCGCCGCAGCACCGTCAACCGAACTTTTAACGGCCCGGTCGGCGGGGCTGACCAGAGCCATCAGAGTCTCTTTTTGACCAGGTGTGCCGATCAAAAACCGGACACCTGGTCACCCTGTATAAAGCTTCCCTAATTTTTGAAAGAGTCAGCCTAGCCTAAAAGCTCATCTTAGACAGAAGCCTGCTCAACTCTTGAAAGATTTATTTGTGTGGCGCTTAGTTTAGGCATAGACCTGACACCGTCTTAAAAGTTATAGCCTACCCAAGGAGCTTAGCCTAAGCGGAGGCTTGCTCCTGTTTTGAGGGTTTTTACTTCAGCACGAAGTTATGACGTTCTAAATTTGCCATTGGTAACTTAAGTTTCTTCAGCTCCCACAGGAACTAAAATTTAAAAATAATGTTTTTCATATACATTTTAAACATTTCTGAATTTTTATTTTCCTCTTTTTGGTATCTGAGCCGATGACCTATAGTTCATGCACGTTAGAGCACCGCACCGCATGACATTTGCGTGTTCATCTTCAAGCTTGCGTATAAGTTTTTGCAGGAGTGAGGCTTTGGGTACTATCCACACACCTTCTGATTCTCTCCCTACCTCTGTTGTTCCTTTAGTAGCTTAATCTTGCTAAATTATTTATAGACTATTCCACTTCAGTCTTTGACTACTTGTTTTGTATTAGGCGTATACCCCACAAACATTAACCCATTCACTTACTTTCCTTTTTATAACCTTGTACACACTATCTCTCACAGTCTTCATAGTATCCTTCCTTCAAAACTATGTAGGCTAAGTCAACCTAATGTTTCCTCATATCTAACTAGTGATTCCAGTATGGGGAATTTTTGCTTTAAAATGTAGAAGTTGTCTGTGACAAATCCAAGGCCTCTCAGTCCTGTATTTGGTAAGCTTTTGCCCTGCTCCAAGTTCTCCCCTCTCTGCTGTACACCATTTTGACAAATTGCCAGGTTAAAGAGGGGAGATGTGTGGGGATTTTTTTATAATTAAGATGTCTATTTTTATCTCAGTAACTTTTACCTATAAATGTTGGCTTAGAACAAAGCTTTTCTTATTCAAACATTAGCTCCTTTTGGAGCATCTTCTGTCTGCACTATTGCTAGTTTTATAATGCTCTTCCTTAATGTTTCCATCTACCATTCAAAATGTGGATGTATTCATGTACTATGAATTTGTAAGCTTTGAGCTCTGCTACTGGAACCTATTAGAAAGCATTCTCAATTATTTAGAAGATAATTAAGCTTGTAAAAGCTTGAACTCTGGTTTTTAATTTGCAGCACAATAGCTTTTGACCAGACCCCAGTAAATAATTCCACTATCTGGGGATTATTTAATAAACTGCACAAAGGAAATATAAAATCTCAATTTCTTGTTACAGGTAACGTATTAAGTATGCATCCAGAAGCCCTGTTCAGAATCAGGCCCCCATCATGCTTGGTGCTGTACAAACTCATAGGAAGGCACCCCGTCCCTAAGGACTCAGCACTTTAAGTTTCTTCTTTCTCACCTTTGCAGAAAAACATCCTTTGAATCATAATCTTTTCATATCCTGCTTCATTTTTTCTATAGATAAACTTTTGTGACAATAAATTAATTATATTCCGGAGTGGGCAATTTCCCAGCATTTGCCACTAAATATAAATGCATCATTAAGGCAGTTTGTGATGGGTTGGGTCACAGAGACCCCCTTGGGACTGCCACCTGATGTGCTGAGACTACCTCTGAGCCCATTTTCCCTGGCAGCTTCGGACTTCAGAACCCTGCCTTGTTGAGCCAGACACGCTAGTCTGCTCCAGCACAGACCCTGGGTCTGAACCACGGCCCCCAAAAGCTGCAGACTTAACTGAAGATGGCTTAGAAAGTCTCCTGTCTCTAGCACCCAGATTCCCAGTTCCCAATGGGATCCAAACGCCAAATACATTTGTTTTACTCTGTATAAAGCTTATACAGGGTAAACTCATAAATTGTCCGCTCTCTATAACGCTGATAGAGAGAGATGCACAGCTGTTTGCTCCCCCAGGAATTAATTACTTAATCCGGGTTAATTAATAAGCAAAAAGTGATTTTTATTAAGTATAAAAAGTAGGATTTAAGTGGTTCCAAGTAATGACAGACAGAACAAAGTAAATTACCAAGAAAAATAAAACAAAAACACGCAAGTTTAAGCCTAATACAGTAGGAAACTAAATGCAGGTAAATCTCACCCTCAGAGATGTTCCAATAAGCTTTTTTTACAGACTAGACTGCTTCCTACTCTGGGTCCAGCAATCACTCTCACACCCCGTAGTTACTGTCCTTTGTTCCAGTTTCTTTCAGGCATCTCTTTGGAGTGGAGAGGCTATCTTTTGAGCCAGCTGAAGACAAAATGGAGGGGTTTCCAGGGCCTTTTATATTCTCTCTCTTGTGGGCGGAAACCCCTTTGTTCTCCTGTGCAAAATCACAGAAACAAGATGGAGTCTGTAGCCACCTGGGCAAGTCATATGTCTATGAATGATTCAGCTTTTTGCAGGCTGACGCCATAGTTTACATGTTAGTTTGAACATTCCCAGGAAAGCCTAGATGTGGATTGGCATCTCCCAAAGTCCATTGCTAGTTAAGTACTCCCAATTACTTGACTAACCCCTCACACTATGTTGACCAAATCTGCCTTATGTGCTTCCTACAGCAAACACTTTAAATACAAGCATAGAGCCAACGCTCATAACTTCAGATATAAAAATGATGCATGCAAACATATAGAATGAATGTATTCAGTGAATAATAACCTTTGCAAAGATACGTTACATGGCATATCTAGCGTAAAACATATTCGTTATGTCATATTTACACTCATAAGCATATTTCTTTAAAGCATTATGGGGTGCAACGTCACACCCTCTTCCTGAACTTACTGCCAGAGACTTGGACACTGTCCATGGTGGAGGCAGTACATGTAAAATCCATGTTTGTCTGTGGTCACACCCCCTTCCAGTACCTTTAAGCCTTATGATGTGATTCATAGGTGTTTTAGCAAAGTTGTGGGTTCCTGGTCCCTGGAAACATGTTGGGGTGTAGTATCGCTAACAGAATGCAGGAAGGAGTCTAGTCTATGAAAGAAGCTTATTGGGACATCTCTGAGGGTGAGATTTACCTGCATTTAGTTTCCTACTGTATTAGGCTTAGATTTGCGTGTTTTTGTTTTATTTTGCTTGGTAATTTACTTTGTTCTGTCTGTCATTACTTGGAACGACTTAAATCCTACTTTTTATACTTAATAAAATCACTTTTTGCTTATTAATTGACCCAGAAGTAAGTAAGTAATTCCTGGGGGAGCAAACAGCTGTGCACATCTCTTTATCAGCGTTATAGAGGGCGGACAATTTGAGTTTACCCTGTATAAGCTTTGTACAGAGTAAAACAGATTTATTTGGCGTTTGGATCCCATTGGGAACTGGGTATCTGGGTGCTAGAGACAGGAGCACTTTCTAAGCCATCTTCAGTTAAGGCTGCAGCTTTTGGGGTACGTGGTTCAGACCCAGGGTCTGTGTTGGAGCAGACTGGCGTGTCTGGCTCAACAAGGTAGGGTTCTTAAGTCCCAAGCTGCCAGGGAAAATGGGCTCAGAGGTAGTCTCAACACATCAGGTGGCAGTCCCAACCCGTCACACAGTTCTTGGCACCAAATGACTAAATTGATGTTTTGAAGAAATGAGTTAATTTTGGGGCTATTCAACTACCAAAGTTGAGATTTTTTTTCCTGTCTGAAATACATAGGACAATAGACAAAAATTCAATCCCTTTGTAAGTGCAAACAATGCTACAGTTTAAGAATATTTTTAAACTGGTATACATTTGAATTCATAATATTTAGTGATGACTCTTTTCAGAAGAAATGTTGGAATGCTCTCAGAAGTAAAACAAAGTTGAAAACAAAATTAAGATGACGCTTTCTCAGCCCTGAAATCATTCTTCTAATCTCAGAATAAATTTGAAACTTATTATTTCCAGGTGCATTTAAATATGAAATCTCATTGTTATTGCATGTTTCACTTTTTGAATGAATTTTCAATTTAATTTGTACAAACTTTTTTTGTTAATTATTGTTTTGGCTTAATTTCTTTTAGAAACATGTCATTCAGGTTTATCAAAAGGTAGGATTTATTTATATTTAAAAAAGTGGCTCCTGCAATTAACATAAAATTTGGCTTTCTAGCCTTGGTTTTCTAAAAACTAAACTTTCTGCTGAGAACTAAATACTTTCTTCCTTGAAAGGAAAATATAGAAGGAAATCCATTGACTAATGATGATACTTAAGCATCTGTGGCACCTGTATAACAAGATGCAAAGCATGCCTTGTGCACTCTTCTTTCTTTGATAGAGTCGATAGTACCAAAAATAATTCTGTTCTTTATACTAATACACTTAGCATGCTTATGTTTGAAGAATGACGTGTTTGGTAACACTGAAAAATGTAGACAAAACATAAGGGCACAAATGTGTAAAGGTAAGTGATGCTCTACATACTTTATCCTCTAATTTTCTTCATTAGGAAAATTCTTATCAAAATAGTGTATGAATAATTTGCTTCTGGTCATAACAAATTTAAACGTTCACCAAATTTGACTTAAAAATACAAATCACTTGAGAGATTGGAAATTTGCATGAGGGATGAAGGATGTACATTGAAAATCTTCAAATAAGAAGCATTTTGTAGAGTACCCAAAGCCAAATTACTTCCTTTTATACTGTCCAACAGAGACATAAATTGAAGCACTTAATTACAATTTATAGAATAAACAAAAGAATAAAAGTTATGCAAGTGCATTGACAAAAGGAACCAGTCTTGGAAAAACTATCCTACATAGAAAGGTTTTAAGAAAGCAGGCGGAATTGATTGTTCTTGCTTTAATACTGGCATAAATTACAAGTAATTCTGTTGAAGTAGGTGAAAAAAGAGTCGGGCACCCTATTCTCAAAGCTGTATTGCTTCAGCATTCTTCTCCTAATTCTTTGGAAAGCCCTATCATCCATAAGCCAAAACATGGAAGAAAAAGACCAACAGGAAAAAAGCTACCAAAATATTCTAAAAAATGAAGCATGATGGAAATAAAAAGTATGACTTGGAAATTGCTTACATCCATATTGACTTCAGAGAATAGAATAAAAAATAAGGGAAGCTTGAAAGACTGTGGGTTCCAATAACTGAATTTAGAGTTTTATACTGAAAGAAATGAAATTTCACAATGAGAAACTAAAAGGTGCAGGAAGTCACGCTGAAAGAAATATTGCTAGAGCTACTTGCATTTCTTTGGTCAGTGAAGACTTCTAAAACTTTGAAACAGCTTTTTGATTGAGCTAAATTTTCTAGTAATATCCTACAGTAGCCTTTTAAGTGTTGCCGAGTTTCTCTGGAATGATGATACCATGCTCAACTGTTGAGAGAAGAAGTTTTGATTCAGAAGTGGCCAAAAAAAATAAATCATTTCAGCCCAACATACTTTACTTTAAAAATGGGCATCCATTTGTACTTTCTTTCTAAAGGTAAAATCATCACTGGTATTTGCAATTTGAAGTTTGTCGTACTTTCTTTAGGCAAGCTGTGACCTAAAATTGTTAGGATATAAATGTAGTTAATTCCATTAGGAATTGTATGTAATTCAACTCCAAATTAGCTGCTGAAGTTCATTCATTCAAGAAAGTCAGGCTGTGAAAAATACCTTGCATACTAGACTTGGAATGGTTTCTTTGTTTCAAAACAAATCATAGTATTAAGTTACACTCCCTCTTAGTGCTATGTTTGGGGCATTCCCAAATGTGAACATATTCTAGAATTCTTTTATTGGATTAGTTGCCATCGACATTCATTGTCGGTTTACAGGAGTATAAATTGGGAGGAGGAATATACATGGGCTATGGTAGTTTTATTTGTTGCTAGGGTAGATCAGAGAAGAAATTGAGTGCCAGCAATCTTGTACACTTGACAATGAATAAAGGTGAATTTCTTAACTCGGCATTTAGCCTGAGCCACCAAATTCTGCACAGTTGCAGAAGTCAGTGTGAGTTCTGTGAATTGCACAGGGATCTGAGATTGAAAGAGAGGCTTTGCCTCTTCCAAAGTTATGGCTATGGCTACAGTAAAACATTAGAAGGTTAATTGAGCAAATAAGCTATTATTTCCACAACTGGACACTCATTATAACTTAACTGTAAGCCTCTACTGCATTGAGGCAGTAAGTGAGATGCATCTGTTAGTCAGGAAGTTCAATTACATTTTATAACTCACATTCTAGAGAGTTACCTTTGAATAGAAATATGGCACTGTAATATAAAGATTGTATCTTTTTACTTTTGGGTCAGACATTTGACATTTGTTAATTGCAGCAGTGTTTCAGGTGTTCTGATAGTAACTTTTTCAGGGTATTCTTGTTTAAAAAGAGACTTGCACAACAATGCACCTCTGAATTTTCCTTTTTATTAGTAGACGTGTATGTGCATGTGACTTCCAGTGTGCCTGTCTCTCTCGTTCTTGTATGCAGGCAGTGAAGTGAAATACATTGCTGCCTATAGCATAGATACTGATTTATTTTTTTAGTCAAATTCTTCTTTACCTGTCATGAATCTCGTCTACAGAAATTCATTTTATTTTAACATTGGAATTTATTATAGTTGCCACAAGGACAATATTACAACTTCATTTCAGAGAGCTCGGCAAATTCTGAGTGCTACACATTTCATTTGTTTTTTAAAAATTAGAATGTTGTTAGTGCACTGCATTCTGATAGGTTTTATATCTCTCATACCTCAGCTAACATTAACAAGATACCATGCAGTGTCCTTGCAAATCTGCAGGGATTCCTTTATGTTGTGGAAGGCTAATTTGATACTTGGAGAGCAAAATTGTGTTGATATTTTGATAGCTTTTTTTGTTGTAGAATCTTTTCTTTAATTAAAGGTAACTTTCCTTGAAAAAGCAGGTTGTTTTCTTTTATGTATAAATTAATTAAATCTTATTTTAGAAGACTCCATCCATTTCCACTCTCCCACAGTAATTTATAGCTTTTAATCAAGCTGTGAAATACTCTTTAGACAGCTTTATTTTTTAATGTTTCATTGGATTTTTAACAGAGTATACCTAGAGAACACTTGCAATGCGCAAAACATAATTCATGATAGATATACAGAAGCACAATACTAGGTCAACATATCACTTATGCTATTTACTACTTTTCACATACCATTTAACAAAAGTAAATGAAGTGCCATAGGCACTGTACTACAGCTGTGGGCTTAAAACAGAAAAATAAAATATAAAATTACTCTATCACAAAACTAATTAGCTCATTAGTCAGCTCCTTTCTTTAACACATTATCTGCTCAATAGTCTTCTGTTACAAACCAGGAGTTTGTGTTCCTTTCAGTACTGCAGACCACATTGGCAACTTGGAAGCCTAAAGGCTGTATCTGACTTGTAAGCATATACAGTATTATAAATTACATATACAGTACGGTTTTAATCAGAAGTGCACTGGTATAGGTTTTATTTATAGAATTCTGTACGTTTGCATGGTGCTTTATAGAGCATAACCATGCTTTGAGGTACAAGGGGGAAGGAATATCAATGGGAAGACTGACACTGCTTCTCTGAAACTTCATGCCAGGTTTTATATTGGAGGTCACACATCATGGAATGCAGTTTTGAGTGTTAGGTGACCTGGTATATTTATTGGTTCAGATTTTAATTTTTTTGCCTATTCACAATTATAAGTACTTCCAAAAGAGGCTTACAAATAAGAGTACTTACTCAAGATGTATCTTGCCGCAGGTGTTCAGTGAATACCTTTGATTTCTCTAAATGTAGATTGAGTATTTAGAAGTTGGTCAGTTTTAACTGAACTTCAGCCGCAGCTGCTAGGATCAGCTGAAAATCGATCTGAAACCAGAACAAACTATTTTTGTTCCTTTGAAAGTCTGAACTTTTGAGCAAAGAAATCTTGAGATTTCTTGAATCATTCACTATAGGGATGACAGGTCATACTCCTATTTCTTGAGCCTTTTTTGTCAACTGAGAAAGTGAGTCTGATGTGATCTATAAATGCTTGCAACTGTAAGCCAAAATGTTCTCTCCTACTTCCCAGGAACAGATGCCACTAGTGCCCTTCAGAGAGTATTTTTGAGTACAGCACTTGACATTTTGTCATCTGAGTCAGGAAGTGACTTCAGACTTACAGAGAGGAGTTTGCTGTGCCTTCCGGAATGAGCCTTCCACAAGATTCTTTGCATGTCTACTGTTGAAACCTCTGGATGTGTTCAGCTTTTATAGCTTTCTCCTTTCCCATAATTCCTCATGCTTTCACTAGTGTTCCGTCCCCCAGAAAGATCGACATCAAGAGCAGCCCAGAGGTCCTGGCTTGTACACCACAGACTTACTAGGCTTTTTCCATTTCTGATTTCTCTAATATCCATTCATTCTAGAGAAGCACATCAGCTTGACATATCTACCAAAGTGATTATAAATATTGGCATTTTAATCTGTCTTTGACAGGCTTCACAATCAGTAACTAAGAGAACTAAATTATTTTACTGATCAATATGGACAAATATGTTGCATAGCTTAAAATGATTGTCTCCATCCTATATTGCTAAAGGTGATAGAACCGTCCCTTCTTATAGCGCCTGAACCTGCTTCCATTGATACAATGGAGAAATACACATTGTCTTTAATAGAAGAAGCATTGGGCCCTTAGTTAAGAAACCCCTTAGAATAGTCATTGTGAGAGGCTTATTCCAGACGGTCATTGTGGTACTATGCACTCTGTGTTGACATAGTATTCTGGCAATAAGAACAGGACTCTTGCTTCAATGTGAGCTTCATTTAGCCCAGATTTTTCCCCTCAAGATTTTAAAATAAGACAGCAGTGTTAAGACGCATTGAAATGTGATTCTGACCAAAAAACGTCACTGTGAAGTAGTTAGGATTGGTATACAACATACGTGACTTGAACCCACAAAAGCAAGGAAACTAAAAGCTACATGACAGTACATATGTTCCCAGACAGGCATATACCTCATCACCACAACTACCATACACCACAGATGATGCACCACAGTTATAACTCTCCCTTCTCATCCTCACACCATTTACCAAGCTGCCCTAATCTACTATGATTAGTTTGGTGTGTTAATGTTGTGTATGCCTGGGGTGAAATAGGCATGGGAGAAAGTAGCCAGGTGCTTGTGGGAGATTTTTCCACCTTGATTCGGTTTGCCTTGAAGGTTGATTAAATGTAACATTAATATATAACAGGGTTAAGTAACTTTTCTGCCGGTGATCTTTATATTGCTCAATTTCTTTTACCCTTACGCATATGTCTTCTGGAAGATGAGTCCGTGGTACAGGAATTCAGAAGAATTCATATTCAGAGGAATTGTACATATTGAGAAATCTTGAATTTACCTTGAAATTTTTCTTATGCTAACTTTAATTTATATCCTGGTTTAAGGGAGGGTGGGAGAAATTAATCAGATCATTTGATCTACAAGTTTCACTATATTTGATCTACAGGTATGGGTGTGCATATTAAAGCTGTTTTTAATACAATTTTTCTCTCTTTTACAGCTTATCACTTTAATATTAACAATAATTAGTATATCTTTATTTACACTGAATTAATACATTTTTACATATTTCTAATTCAACAATCTTCCCCACTGGAATCTTACCTTTTAACTTCATGTGTACGTGTGTCAATATAGTATTACAATTAATACTAAAAGTATCTACTTTTTAGAAACTGTGGCTTATAAATACATATTGTTTTGGTGGGCAAGACATTTGTAGTATTCTAAGTTTGCTGTGATCTTGAAAATCCATTGAATCTTTGTTGCCTAAAGTGTCATAACACAATATATTTTAATTACGGTATAATTGAGATATTGCATTTAGCCTCTATTCAGATATTATGTATGCTAGTATAAGATTTGTCTTCTCTTTCCCACCTCCTTTTGTTTCTGCATTCTTTTCAATGAGGCTCCCGACTGAATATGAGAGGAACGGGAGATATGAGGGCTCAAGGTGAGGGTAATGATTTTTGTTTAAATGTTACTTAGGTGAGTTTGAACCTTTCTCCCCCTGTTTATGTGGCTCAGGTTCTAAGCAGCAGGTTTTGTTTCCTTTAGCTCCACGAAACTGTAAACCAAGAAACCCTCCTGTCTGCAAAACAGTGATTAAAGCATTGAGTGACTTGGTTCTAAATTCTTCCATCTTTCATGTTGCCTTTTCCCTATATATATTTCTGCATCTTAGCAGCTGGGCAGGCAGGCAGCCCCCAGTGAGACTGCAGAACTGCTCTATAATCCAATATTGGAGGGTACTAAAGTGTGAGAGGTTTTTTTAACCCTTCTCAAGGTTATGAGCATAATCTCTGACTCTACCAATCAGCTTGAGGCTGCTCATGTGAAAGCAAGTCTCCTCTATGATAACACAGAATTATTAAATAGGTGATCTTCATGCTGAATTTGTTTAACTTTCTAATCAAGTTTTTATTTTTATGCAATACTTTCACAATGTTCTGCCAACACGATGGTACAGAAGTTTGTTTCATGTAACTAGAAATTATTTTTTAAAAAGCCCATAAAAAGGACTTGACTTGTTATTAGTACTTGTCTTTGTGACTGAGGATGTGAGTGAGATTCGCACACCTAAGCCATTCTTTTTAGGTGACAAATCTAAGGAACTGACCTTATGAGGTGTCATTAGAGGAGGTTTTGAAACAAATTGATAAATTAAACAGTAATAAGTCACCAGGACCAAATGGTATTCACCCAAGAGTTCTGAAGGAACTCAAATGTGAAATTGCAGAACTGTTAACTGTGGTTTGTAACCTATCATTTAAATCAGCTTCTTTACCAAATGACTGGAGGATAGCTAATCTGACACCAATTTTTAAAAAGGGCTCCAGAGGTGATCCCAGCAATTACAGGCCTGACTTCAGTACCAGGCAAACTGGTTGAAACTATAGTAAAGAACAGAAGTGTCAGACACATAGATGAACATAATTTGTTGAGGAAAGAGTCATCATGGTTTTTGTAAAGGGAAATTATGCCTCACCAATCTACTAGAATTTTATGAGAGGGTCAACAAACATGTGGACAAGGAGATCCAATGGATATAAAGTACTTAGATTTTCAGATAGCCTTTGACAAGGTCCCTCACCAAAGGCTCTTAAGCAAAGTAAGCTGTCATGGGATAAGACGGAAGGTCCTCTCATGGATCGGTAACTAGTCAAAAGATAAGAAACAACAGATAGGAATAAATGGTCAAATTTCAGAATGGAGAGAGGTAAATAGTTTTGTCCCTCAGGGGTCTGTACTGTGACCAGTACTATTTTAACTTGTTCATAAATGATCTGGAAAAAGGAGTAAACAGTGAGGTGACAAAATTTGGCGATGATACAAAACTACTCAAGATAGTTAAGTCCAAAGCAGACTGCAAAGAGCTACAAAGGGATCTCACAAAACTGGGTGACTGGGCAATAAAATGGCAGATGAAATTCAATGTTGATAAATGCAAAGTAATGCACATTGGAAAACATAATCCCAACTATACATATGAAATGATGAGGTCTAAATTAACTGTTACCACTCAAGAAAGAGATCTTTTCCAATTCCAATATGTCTTTTTTGAGATGGGGCGACCACATATGCATGCAAAAAATATATTTTGGAATTGGAAAAAGTTCAGAAAAGGGCTTCCATATGAGGGTTGATTAATAAGATTTGGACTTTTCAGCTTGGAAAAGAGTTGACTAAGAGGGGATATGATAGAGGTCTATAAAATCATGACTGGTGTGGAGAACGTACATAAGGAAGTATTATTTACTCCTTCTCATAACACAAGAACTAGGGGTCACCAAATGAAATTAATAGGCCGCAGGTTTGAAACAAACAGAAGGAAGTATTTCTTCACACAATGCACAGCCAACCTGTGGAACTTTTTCCAAAGGATGTTGTGAAGGCCGAGACTATAACAGGGTTCAAAAAAGACCTAGATAAATTCATGGAGGATAGGTCTGTCAATGGTTATTAGCCAGGATGGGCAAGGATGGTGTCCCTAGCCTCTGTTTGCCAGAAGCTAGGAATGGGCGACGGGATGGATCACTTGATGATTACCTGTTCTTTTCATTCACTCTGGGGCACCTGGCATTGTCCACTGTTGGAAGACATGATACTAGGCTAGTTGGACCTTTGGTCTGACCCAGTATGGCTGTTCTTATGTTCTAAATTGAATTCTGAATCTTAACATACCACTGATTTTAAACTGTATGGTGTACCATGAGAGCAAAAATAATCTTTAAAGAGGTATCTGATGCAGAAAACACTTTTATGCACATATCTGCATGTTAACAAATACTTTTTGTGAAGGTTTCAGTACACAGATTCCAACTCTTTTTAGCCATGTGGCCACTAATTCATAGCTGAAATACAATAGTGAGCTAATTTTCTACAAATTTCTGGAACTCGTCTTCTTATCCATCTATTTCCACCACTACCAAAACAAGAGAAGAACGTTGTTATTACTATGTGCTTTAATTCTTACAATTTTGATAGTCATCACACTTTCTCATTGTACCTTCTGTTGTAGTGACAAGGAGATTATTTTTGTTAACGTTAGTTTGGTATGTTAACTTTCTGTATTTTATTCTGAAAAAGACACTCCAGTAACTTCAGAAGTTAGACTGTTCATCATTGCAAGTTATACATCTCTGATGATTGTCATAGGTGAAGCAATAGTATTGATAAAGATACTTTCCTTGGTGTATGATATGTTTGAGGATATTGCGTAGACCCACCAGTACCTGAGCTGAAAGGCAAAGGTCTTTGGTTGCTTCAAATCTCAAATGTTTATGAAGCTAGGAAGGCCGTTATGAAACTCCAGTAGTGACCCTGAGAAATTTTAAATTGGTGGCGGTGGAAGGCAGAACATTCAGTCCCAGCAGGGTGAGGAATATCCTTCACCTGGCTCCTTCCCCACACTGGTGTATATAGACTCAAGAGGGTTGCTGCAATGCAGTGCCTGAGGACTGTAGTAGTGGAGAAAATGTAAGGGAACCCAAAGGATCCTTCTGCCAGGGCTTTTCAGTGCATTGTATCAGTAAATATCAACTCATATTGGAGGCAGCTGTGGCCTAAGTCTTTAAGTTGTGACTTAGAGCTGCTATCTTAATGAGGGTTCCAGAAATTTCTAGAGCTTTCTGGTGCCATATGCCCTGGATTATTGATCCATGTAGGCTGTAACCTTAATTGAATTACAGGTGAGTGAAAACTTACCTTCAGCATGGTAGTAATAAAGTTTTTCATCCTCCTGTCCCCATTCCTTCCAGTTGTTGTTCACACTAGTTGTGTCTTGGCTTAATTAGATTGTATGCTTTTGGGGTGGGAACAGTCTTACTGTGTGTATATAATATGCAATGCCTAGTACAAAAGGGTCCTGCTCCAAGTTGGGGCCCCTCTAGGCACTTCTGTAATACAAAAAATGCACACTGAACAGGGCAGTTGCTTCATCAACACAAGATTTAAGAGGTTGTCCTATTAAATAATAAAATGTTTTCTTTCAGTCGCAATGTAGCTGTGGATCAGAAGGATGAAAACAAGGAAGCCAAGCCCCGTTCGCTGAGGTTTACTTGGAGCATGAAAACTACCAGTTCCATGGATCCTAATGATATGATGAGGGAAATTCGTAAAGTCCTGGATGCCAATAATTGTGACTATGAACAAAGAGAGCGTTTCTTGCTTTTCTGTGTCCATGGCGATGGACATGCGGAAAATCTTGTACAGTGGGAGATGGAGGTGTGTAAACTGCCAAGACTGTCACTGAATGGAGTCCGCTTTAAGCGGATATCGGGAACATCCATAGCTTTTAAAAACATTGCTTCCAAAATTGCCAATGAATTAAAGCTGTAAGAAAAAGTAATTAAGTTGTAAATTAAGTAGCAATTTCGAGTGTTTTTGAGAACACCGATGGAAATGTATAGAATAATATTTAGGCAATAACTTCTACATCTTCTGAATCATGATATTAAAAAAAAATTGAAACAAGCTGCTGAGCTGGGAGGGAGAGTTGGACTTTTTTTATAAGTGCACTACAGCATTAAAGTTGCCTACTATGTAAAATATTACCCCTTCTGCTTTATTTCCATTGCTCTAAGTCTTTGACAACAAACTGAAACACACAATATATACATTTAAATATGCCTCCTGTTTGTGTGGATGTGAGAATGTACAGTGTGTGTGTGTATAATATATTAAGTATTATATGTAAACTATTCATTTACAACATCAGAGCTGTACCCGTACCTCTTTAGGGGCTAATTTTGGTGCTAAAAATTGAAATGGCCAAGGAGGAAACACTTGAGTTAATATTTAAAATAATTGAATGGTTTCCCAGTAAATGCAGTTTTACAGTTCACTGCTGTGTTAAGAAAAAAGTGTGAAGGGTTTGGATTTATGGTTGTGAACATTACTCCTGTTTTTTAAGTAGATCTCATGAGATAATTAAACATTCACTTTTACTCAGTAAGTCTTGCATTATACTTCTCCCACTATTTATTATTTAAGTCTGAATCAAATTAAAAATTAGAGTTGATTTATGCATTAAAATTTGGGTAAATGCTTCAATTTCTCTGTTCATGTTAAACACAAGTGTAAAAATATATCATTTTTATCTCTTTTGTCTTTCATGACTTAGTAGAATGGGTTACCATTCAGTAAGCTCTACCATTTACTGCTATAGAATGTAAACAGTGTAGTTCAACGAGAACATCACGTTTAGTGTCTTATCTTGAGGTAGAAATGTGTTTTTAAAATCTGACTTGCTGGAACTTGACTTAATGTCTGAAATTGTCACTGTTTCTACTGTAAAGGCTTGGCCAGATTCATCAGAAGAACAAAAGGACTCTCAGTAAACGATAAAAGTTCTGGTGAGAATTACCACATGCCTGAGATACTGACTTTCTACATTACTGCTGGACATACGTTGTCCCTTCCCCTTGAGCTGTGAGCATGCACTCTTGTTAAAATCCAAAAGTGGAAAGCCAATGTCTGCTGATCACTTTTCATACTTTAAATGAAATTAATAGTGGTGCAAGATACCAGATTGACAGACCGCCTTAGAGATGAGCTCCTATCATTTGATAAACACAACAGCACAGGTGGCAGTGGTTCAGCCCTCCCCCTGTCCCCTACTAAGTCCCTTGCAATGCCCTCAGCCCAGTTCTGCGAGGTACTACTTATATAGGTGGGAAGATAGTTCGGTCTCCGTGTCAATTCTATCTTTTGGTCTCTGCTGAGACTGCTAAGGAGGAGGTCAGTTGTGGTGAGCTTTTTTTAGTGTGTGGAGAGGAAACCTGTCTTCTCTGAATTCTGCTGTCTTGACCAACTCACTTCCTACAGACCACCAAGCAGTCATCAGATGGTATCAACTCTTAGTCGCTACTGACCTGGGCTGGATTTGAATCACAAACCTGGATACCCCAATCCATTCAATCTACCTACTAATTTTTCCTTTCCTGTATTCAGGTTGCTATTTCACTAAGGATTTGTGTAGATAATACCCCGTATTATCTATTTGACTTTATTTTATATAAATTTAATGCTTATGGTCCCGTTCCCATGCAGCAGTTAGGCACGTACTTAACGTGTGCTTTAATTCAGACCCTAAGCTTGCTTTTTAAAATTACAGTGAGCTAATATAGTTCATCATTGTGTACGCAACTTAGCTTTGACCCAAGGTGCAAATGCAGAATCCCCAATATTTTGCACATTAAGTTTTGTGATCCATGCTCTGAAAACAAGAATTTCCTCCTTTATACCTCTTCCTCAGTCTCTAGTGACCTTGCCCTAAGCATTGATAATTATGCTAGCTAAAGGATAGTTATAGTTGTTAAATGCAGTAAATATTCCTGAATTTACATTTTTAAATCTAGGTATATTTTGTATCATGAACTGGCTTTAGAACTCTTGGTGCAGATGGAGCTTGATGGGCTGTCAGTAGTCGTGCTTACTTGGCTCAGGATGGTCTTGCCATGAAAACTCCATTTTGTAATAGCAATAAGAGATTACAGGACAGGATGTACTTCTCAGGTGGGGATTCACGTAGCCTTTCGCTTTCTACATTAAACACTACTCAAGGTGTATTCTTTTCATCCAGTAGTGTACTTCCTGTTGTCTTATAACTTAAACTCCATGTTCTGATTAATCATAGCACTTACTGATTGTAAATCTGTATTCAGTGGAAATTCCAAAGGTTTCATATTAAATGTCTCCTGCAATACTCTGTTCTATTTTACCCATTCAGTATATAATTTTCTGCAAAGTGCAACAGTATCATAAGTTTAAATATTTTTAAAAGTTTGTACTTAAGTATTTTTGTCTTAAAATGTATTCAAAAGGTACTTTTAGAAATAATCTGTATTTGAGATATTAAAATACACCAAATGACATATTTATTAGCACTAGAAACAGGTTCTTAACAGCTTCCTTCTCAAATATAATACAAAACTGTCAATTGCAAAAATGTTACGAGTGTTCTTGATCATAACACACACAATGTCCTTCTTCATTCTAAAGTGCAGAAGCTTGTAATTATTTGTCTGGTTCACTGGTAGGACAATCACTGAAGGAACTATATTTTGCTATATTAAGAAGATGCTTAATATAAAGATATAGGCCTCAATCCTGCATGGTCACTGGAGAACTTTCAGCTCAGGGGACTGCCTGCTGGTATGAGCTGGCAGGATTGGGTCTATAGTTACTTTATATATCAAACCTCCTTGTAATCGGAGTCCAAGATGTGTGTTGTGATAATAGCAGTCCTGGGCACCTCAAGAGATGTGCATCGAGCAGCTGAGAAGTGCTTTTGTAACAGCATTAATTTTGCCCTAGAGATCGGTGTCTCATTTTCTAAAAATGTTTGTTGGCTCTTGACTAACACACTGTGCGCTTCCACCCAAGTCACTGCCAGGTCTGATTCTGAAATCAAGCTTTTCTTCCCTTGGCTAGCAGGTAAAAAATGTTCTGCGTTTTTCCTGGTATATTTTAATTACTATATTTTGCAAAGCTTTCTTTAACTAATTCAGTTCAAAATATTTCTTGTAATACATGGAAACTCAACAGTGAGTGAGAATTAATAAGCTCAACCAAGCTTCTCTCTCTAAGCTTACAATTCATTGAAGCAATCTAGAAACCAAAAAGGCATAGATCTGAGAGAAATAACTGCATTTGCCTCACCAGATATGTGTTTTTAAGACCTTGGACCATGTTGTGAAGGAGATGGTAAATAATTCAGCGTAAAGAGCAGTACTAGCTGTTCCTCCAAACTTTAGTTTCTAAGTATGTTACACAAGCCTTCGTCATTGATATCCCTGAAGGAAGTGACACCCATAGAAACTGGCCTGATCGGTGTGGATTCAAGGAACCTTAGCCTTAGTACAAGTAGCACAAACTCTGGGGTTCTATTCCTCTTATTAATCATTTGCATTATGGTAAAAGTCATAACCAAGATAGCGGTCCTATTATGCTGGGTGCTATTGAAAACAAAAACAGTAAGATGCAGTCCCACAGAACTTACAATCTAAAATAGGCCAAGGTCTGAGAAAGGGGAGGTATTGCTTTCCATATTTTCGGGGAATGGAAGCACAGAGATTAAGTACCTTGCCCATGGTCACATAGGAAATCTAGGTTCAATTCCCAGGTCTGCTACAGACCTGAGTTCTAGTCCAGTCTCTTAACCATAAAACCATTTTCTCTATGTAAGGCCCTGATCAGCAAGGTACAGAAGTACATTGCTTAATTTGAATCATGTGAGTAGTCCCATTAGTGTGAATGTAAGGGCTGGTCCACACTGGGGCGGGGGATCGATATAGGAAACGCAACTTCAGCTACGAGAATAGCGTAGCTGAAGTCGACGTTTCCTATATCGAACTAAAAGTACTTACTTCGGGTCCACGCGGCGCAGGCAGGCTCCCCCGTCGACAGCGCTTCCTCCTCTCGGCGAGCAGGAGTTCCGCAGTCGACGGGGGAGCGCTTCTGGGATCGATCTATCGCGTCCAGATGAGACGCGATAAATCGATCCCAGAAGATCGATCTCTACCCGCCGAATTAGGCGGGTAGTGTGGACCAGCCCTTAGGCACACCCTAAAGCAGCTTGCTGGATCAGTGCCAACACCACTCCCTTCGAATCAATGTAACAACATTTGTGTATTTCAGCGGTTCTAGACTGATGGTTTATATTGTGGTCTGTGTGCCTCCCATGCCCTAGAGCCTTTTGGTGGCAGTCTGCACGATGAAATATTTTGGGAACCATATAGTGGAGGAGGAGATGTGTGATGTACTCCACTAGAGAGTGTTTCTTTACCCAAATGTTTTGTTTCAAATTTATATCTTTAAGGGCTTAAGACACTGCTATGTTAGTACATTGGTCTAAACGTGGTTGGAAGAACGACCTCTTTAGGAATGTGAATACACATTTCAAATTTATATTAATGTATAATTTTTCAAATAAATTTGTGCAGATGGTGACTCTTTTGATCTGCATTTTACTCTCCTGGCTGTGTGTATAGTTCTCATTTCCTTCAGTCTTGCTAGAGAAGTCTTGGAGCTTTGCAGTGGAGAATGGCTTCATTTTATTAAAAATCACGAATACTGCCAATTTCATCACCATTTCAGACATTTAAGTCAGGGAATGTTCTACATGTGACCAAAGTACTCAGTTTGAGTAGCAGTACGTTGTCTCTTACCAGTTTCAATATTATGTTTCTTGGAAGACTCCCTACTTCAATAATCGCATTATTGAATTCTTACCCAATTAGAAAACTTTAGGATCAACACTTTATACCATACGTAGTGAATTTTCAGGTAGAAGCTAATGGAAGAAATAAAGTCCATCCAATTTGTTGATCAGTTTTACAAGGTTCCTATCCTATTGGTGGTTTTTTTCTTTCCAGGCATTGACACTATACTGTTCCACCAGAGGCACTAAGAAAAGCAATCGCACTAAAAGTGCTGCTCAGAATTTGAATTATTCTTAAATT